GACCTATGTAGTCAACCACTTTTTGACTCTGCAGCCTTGTCCTCCACAGGTGCAAATATGTCACTATGAAGATTATCCATAAGCAGCTGAAAAACGTTTTCTAACAAAAACCTTACAAGTTGTTAAGTTTGAGAAGCCGTTCATGGCTAACGATACATTCCAGTGAAGTGTCCTGAAATGTGGCATTGCCGCTAGGATTTCATGCAGTTCAGCTTAATTTTTATATAATCATTCCAATTAACTGTTCTGCAGTTTTGCGGTTGACCCGGCACATTCGTTAGAACTGCAATATCCCAACGCATTTCAAAGCACAGCTGTTTGCCAGAAGGCGCATGTTTTCGAAGTTGCAGCATATGGCACGAGTTTTCCCAACCGGAAGTGTTGAACAAATAATGGCCGAGTAGCCCAGACGGCTGGCACAGGTCCCCGCCAGACTCCCCGTAGCATGCAGCCTGCATTTGCGTCGCCATAATTTCGTAACGCAACCAGATGCAGAAAAGGCCAGATCGGGGACGCGTGCACATGACTCGGGACGAGCATTTTGTGTCGAAAGCACTCATGTATACAGTCTTTGTCGAAGCTGTCGAATCGTTTAAAACTGGCAGAAGTAACTGAGCTGACCCCAAAACGTTGTGAAGTTCCTCTGATAAGTTTGATTATTAGTCTCCTAACCATTAGACGAATCCAGCAATATGTTTGCATTTGAAGCTGTTCACTTCTTTTGAGATGCCGAGGATGGAGTCGTAACGTCGCACAGCACGATAATGCTTTCACTCCTAAGCCGGGCCTTCGACTTTCTCTGGGTTCAGCTTCCCTACGAGACAGAATTGCAGCAAACACGGACATGAAACCTAGCTGCCACCAGTAGCGAACAAGTTCCCAAAATAATAACTATGCACCTGAATGAAGCTATGGCACTCTTTCACTAGATGGAGCCCAGTTCCAGCTAGTGTAACAGTGCCGTGCTGTCCAAGGTGCTTAGAGTCTTCAACAAACGCTTAATGATGAGCGTAGCTAATTCCAACTGGTAGTTTTCGAGATTTCGGTATGCCGCTAGAAAGCTCCAAAGCCAGGGCCCGAAACCAAATTTCCTTACTTAGTTTTATTGTCACTTCCCCTCGGTCCGAGAGTGTGAATAAAACCGACACCGTGCCAGCTTATAACACTTTGAATTAGTCGGTGGGTAGTGACATACCCGGCGCCATAAACAAGATGTCCTGCACGTTATCAGTCGGTGCAAGTCCACCTGGAAAATGAAGCCTGCGCATTACGTCGTAGTTCGCAGATCCTCGACCCGCCGCAAGCGGCACGCACGCCGATGCTCCACGAAAGCATGCGGCAAACTGGCAGACGCGTGCATCTTGTCGCAACAGTCTGCTAGCGTTGCGCTCCTTGCAAGATGCCACGAGCTAGGCCGCGCTGCGTGGCTCCACTAGTGCCGGCGTTTGGGGGAAGAGAAAGGCGCGCGCCTTGTCTAGTAAATGGTGTTGGTATGTACAAGCTGGCAGAAGAGGGGTCAATTGAAAGTCCCAAGTCTGTGCACCCGATTTCCCCGGCCAAAAAGCCAACTCTGCCTGCATATCCTCCGCTCGGAGCGTAAGGCGCCGGCGGCCCCTGCCAGCCGTCTTGGGCGCCGTGTGGCGAAAGTGGTCCGCGGGAACCCCGCCGGGGTCGGCATCGGGTTAACCACCGCACCCCTCTGCCCATTTCCTCGGAGTGCATGCCGGGTTATCCCTCTTTTTACCCGTTAACCGGCGTTTCTCCCTTTCTCTTTCTCATTCTCTGAGGGCCGCGAAAGAGGCAACCATCCCGTCCTCTTCTGCGGCTCCCCTCTCACGCACGTCTCCTCTTCTATGAGCCTCCCATATCTCTCTCTCTTTCTCTCTTTTTCTTCCTCTCCTCTGCCCCCCTTCCAAATTGCCGCGGCCCGCAGAACAACGTGGCTGCCGCGGCGGTCTCGTTCCCCTTTTCTTCCTCTGACCGACTGTGCGCCTCGAATTGCCCCCTCTCTCGAACGAACAACATTGGCAGAACACACTCGGTGAACAGAGATGGAAGCAATGCCCACGTCTCATGAGCATGCGCTTGTTGCTGCGGTGGCACGTTTCGCTTGGCCAAGCATTGACGTAGCGGCCAACCCCGCATTTGTCCCCAAAATCGACTTGTTTTTTTTTGTTGTTTTTTGTTTTTTTGCTAGCTCGCACATTGCCCCCTCCTCTCTTCCCCGCATGGCAGTGAAACCCTCCCTCTTCGGTTATGCATGGCCGTCTGCCATACCCGCTTTGGTATGCCTCCAGCCCGACATCCTTTTGTTCCTTGTTTCGTTTTCTGTTGACACCCGAGGAAATGTGCATGAGGGGTGTGCGTTACCGGCGTATCACGAGGGGGCGGCGGTGCGTTTTTTTACTTCCCTCGGTTGCCTCTTTGTACTCCCTCGCTGGCGCAATTATCACCCCGTCCAAGGTAGGGGAGCGTTGCCTCCGCCGACATTGAGTGTGCCCCTCCCCCGTTTTGCCTTTCAGTGTGCACCTGACAGAGTAAAAAAGAAAACGAGATGAGCGCCACTTAGAGTTTGGCCTGCACCAAAACGTTTCTGCACCGACAGCCACCAAGCCTGCCCTTAGTTTGCGTCCTTCCTCCTTGGTTGGACCGCCGCCGGCTTTCGGCATGCCCCGAGCCTCCCCGAGTCGCATTTTGCCTTTGGAGAAGTCTGCATTCGTTGTTTGGTTCATCTTTTGTTTGGTTAGCCCACCCGTATAGCAGGCACGTCCACTTGTAGGCAGCGGTACGGGGCTCCAAAACATCCGCCGATAAGCGCAAATGCCCCAACGAAATGTTGCACGTTGGCCGGGCAACCTTTCGGTTGGCTCCGGTTGGGTGAGAAGTGCGTGGGACGGAAACCAGATACGCGAAAATGTCGCGAGAGTATGATCTCTGTGTGTTGCTCCTCGGAATGCTCTAGGCAGTGGGGTGCATCAACAGGTGGCGTGTCTGTGTTGTTGTTGCCTTTTAAATGAAAAATAAGATGCTGTATTCCATTTCACTATAACTTGGCGAGAGGCAAAGTCTACGGCCCCAGCAAGCCAATCAGCACGTCGGCGCAAGGTACGCGACGCCATTTTGGCAAAGTGCTCTACTCCCACAGAGGGTTGTCGCATGCCTTGCACCGTCCAAATTGGCAGCTCCCATTTGGCTAGGGTGTTGCTTCGGCACGACTATCTTGTTCTGTGCGAACGAGTGCCAGAATAGCCAGAGTCCCTTCTCCTACTGCGTCCATCGGAACTTTGGAACAGCGAGACAGCTGGCACTTTAGTCTGAACTAGACTCTAGTAGACAGAATGTTAAAATGGATGTGCTGCTGACCAGTCGGCAACAGTGTTGTCAGTACAGATTTGCAGACAAAAAGGGACAGACTGGCACTGTGCTACCAGACACCAGTACGTACCAGCATGGCAAGACGCTACCACGTGTCGGACATATATGAGTACACACGTCTGCAAAAAGAATGGCTTGGGACCCAGACTAGACTCCGTTCACCCCATAGTTGAGAGTGCGGTGGGAGCCATACACTTGGTGGACAAATCAGCCGCCTCGCTTCCATCACCTGACCCCGCTCGCTGCACATGGGTGCGGGTGTGAGCCTGATAAGTATGACTGCACCAGTGAGCATGCAGTATCCACCGCGCTGTCGGCTTAGGAGTAAATGAAATGTAGTGTAGGCAGAATGAAGCAATTGTGGCAAAGTACACCGATGACCCTTTATATTAAGCATTGAAAAGGCTTCTTGTCATTAATCGGCTGAAGGCCACACGGTGTTGCGCAAATGCCGGCTGGCATTCAGCCAGCTGGCCTCTTGCTGACCTCTGGAAGTTGACCCTTCTCAAAGCAAATCGGGGAAGGATGAACCTGTTTTTCGCAGAAGATGCGGCAGGTTGCGGCGACGTGGTAGCCCGTAGGCAATGTCATGCTGGAGCGGTGGCCATCCCCATTGTCCTTTCAAAGTCCTTCTCAAATGTAAAAAAAAACCTTTTCGGGGTCGAAACGGGCCTCTCTCAAAGTAGATGAAAGGTTGAGTAAAGGCCGCACGTCACGCGTGGATGCACCAACTTCTGGCGACACGATAGCAACCAAGCCCAGTTGACACATGCGTTTTGGTGCCGAGATAACAGTCAGAGCTACATCAATGCTGAGCCAACACAAAGCTGAGGTCGCGTTGTGCGTAAGCAGGGAAAAGCAGGGTCACATGCGGAAGTGTTGCTGTTGCAGCACCAACGTCGTGCAAAGTCTGGGCTGTGTCTACAGGACGGTTCCTCGAAATCCGTTTTCTCTTCTAGTAAGCCGTGTTCCGCCACATTGATGAACAGCGTCTGCCACTTTCGCCACTTCTTTACTCGCAGCCGCTTAGTTATTGGCGTCATGTTTGGTGTTGCTGAAGCGCCGAAGCATGGTGAATGGCTCCATTGACAAGAAAGCTCGGTAGATACGATCGAGGACGTATTTGGGCCGCATAAGTTTATTCGGATTTGTTTCTTTTCGGAGTCACCCTCTCAAGCTGGCGATCGATTTGCCGATCGCCGGTTCGTCTGAATAAAGACTGGTATGTATAAAAATCGGGCCCCAGGTGATGCTCTTTTATGCCGCAGACTGCTCCAGCAGACGCAGTCGATCAAGAAACTCGACTAAGCTGAAAAACACTTCCTTCACGCATAGAAAGACGTATGGCAAAAGTTCATCAATGCGGCTTCCGGCGAGATTTTGAGCCAGAATTGGTGTGTCGCGTGAAAGCGACCTATAGCGCCGAGTAAGCTCTGCACTGCATGTGCAAACGGGCCTTCAGTTTACGTCCTGCTGGCACAACCAATCGGCCTATAGAGAGAAAAAGGAAAAAAAGCCGCATGTCGACCTTTTTTGGGGTAGGGTAACTTCCTTTTTGAAGCAGATGGACAAAGGGTTTGCCGTCTCTAGCGACTCACTGGGTCTGACGGAGACATCTTCTGCAGTGAATGCAGTCCAGACCAACGAGGAGATTCCGGGCAAGGGTATCCTCTTGGACCCCCGATCCAAGTCGCTGGTGCTCCAGTGCAACTCCACCGAAAACCCTGGCCTGGACATTATCTGGTGAGACCGCCTGTCCACTACACAAACTAAACACATTTTTGAAATACCCAGACCTTACTCTTTTTGGCAGCCCATTTATTATCTCTAAATTCAAAATAGCTATTAAGTAATGATGTAATGATTACATGTAAATATTCTACGGGATTCTAAGGGACTTGCCTTAAATTATTGTCATATTGAATGTCTTATCTCACGCTTGCAGTAGTGCGATCAAGACTGGTGGCAACTGTTAACATCCGTTTTGTCTGCTGACGGCTAGTTTAGAGAGAGGACCTGAGATCAAGTCTCGGACCGGGCAAACTTTTTTAGCGGCCACTAGTTGCCTAGAGGGCGCTAGTTTCACTTCCTTTCGGGTGGATGTCAGTTTAGGTTTGCGTAACTCTTTTCGACATTGGGGTCTTCTTTAAAATCAGTACATCTAATCATTTAGGGCTTTTTTTTTTTATGTAACTTGTGATCCAATATTAATTAAATTACTGGGCCTCTTTCAAACACTGGGCCTTTTTCAAACAATAATGTACTTGGTTTCGATGTAGATTAATTAGTTTTGTTTATATTTGATGTTTCATTTGCAAAGATTATGGACAGGATGAAGACAAATTCAGATATCAAAATCGAAAATACATTCCGTAAAATCCCATAAGGGCACCCTCTCCCGAGAGATCGCCCATCCCGTTTTTCTGGCTGAATATTCGTAACATAAAATATTCGGAAACTTCGCCTGCTTTTCCCATACAGCCCATCCCCCAAATGCGCGGTTAAGTATAAGCCGCATGCAAGCGATTTGGCAAGCGACTGTGACCCACTTCACTTTTGCTTGGTCAGTTGTGCGACAAGGCAAACTGCATGAAAGCGACAGGAGCAAGCGACCAAAACAATGAGCGACGTCTTCTAAAAAACCAAAAACTGGGCAACACGACGGGCAGCAGTGAGAAATCTCCGTCGCTGTCACGTCGGCTCGTCTCGTCGGCTTGTCTCGTCGCTCGCTAAATCACTTGCATCTGGTTCGGCCTTTAATGTGATTCCCGTCTGACGTCATGCGATTTCTGTCGGACATCGCATCAACTACGCGATTTGCTGTACCGGTACATCTGGCAAGCGAGTTTGCTGCGGGTTTTCTCGTTTTTGTCTGCAATCTGCGCGTGCAATATCGGTTTCCGTGGCATGCAAGTTTGTCGGGAGTTTCCGTATTCTTTGCCTGCGATCTGCACGCACAATATCGGTTTCCGTGGCAGGCAAGTTTGTAGTTGGTTTTCACGTGTTTATCGCACGGGAAGCATGACTCTGCCGCATCTACAGTCTGCGGTATTCTTTCCTGCAACGCGAGAGTTTGTAGTGAATTCCCTCCTGTTTATCGCATACGCTAATTTGCCGTGTCCGCGATATCAGTTCCTATAGCACGCGGTTTGTAGGGAGTGCCCCTGTGTTCATCATTAATTTTTTTATAAAGTTTTCTCATTCTTAAAGATAGCCCACCTCAGGTTTTCGACTATCTATCCCATCATTTTGGGTGGGCGCCCTTCCGGGATTGTGCTGTACTTTTATAAACGGCAAGGTCTGCAGAATCCAACAAGGCATAAATTAAAGCCCTAGGATAATAAGTGTTTTTAATCACACCTAAATTTTTCAGTTCCAAAATTATTTTTTTTGCAGGAAGTATAGGAGACCTAAAAATAACCTGATGCCAAATTTAACATGTTTATTGGATACCTTGCTTATATGCCTACCAGAGAAAGAAAAAATAAATTGTGACGATAAGATGTTTGCGAGTGTAGATATGGCCTCCATAAAATAGGAAACTGTGTAAAAAGTTCATTTTGAAATAATGGAAAAAAAAATATGCACAGACCCATTTTACTATGATTTCATGTCAGTCATTCAAGATAAGAGACTTATTTTATGAAAATGCTCCAGGACAACATGAGTGTCTGTCAAATCTTCAAAAACACAATTTGAAAAAATGGGTCTCATTAATTAATTTTTTTACTTCGAAGAGCAGCGTTTCCCCTTAACGAGTCGTCCCGTCTGTCTTCAAGGTTCAAAGACGGCAAGAAGCTGTCAGCCGACGAACCCAGGTACAGCCAGAACAGCGACACCAACACGCTCGTCATCAACGACCCGACTTATGCGGACACCGGAAATTACACCTGTGCCGTGGTGGACGGAGGCGACAATGCCACCATCGTGGTCCAGAGTAAGTTTGTCCGGTGCCGGAACTGCGAAGGTACAGCCACAGTGCCTCGAACGTGTCTCAAACTGGTGCGTTTGGCATCCTTGCCGCCCATGCAAAGAAAGTGGTCTCGCTTCATTCAAATACTGGGCACCAAAACGGTGGCGTCCACGAAATAATCGGGCGCTGAAGTGCCAATGCTCTAAGCCCGTTCTGAACAAGTTCAAGAGATTTTCCAGACTGAGTTCGCCGATCAGCTCATTCTCAGACAAACAGTAAGCTGAAGAATGCATTTCTTGCAGAGATTATGAAAACTTTGCCAAGTTTTCCCCCCAAATTAAAGTTTTTGTATCTATGCTATCTCGCAGCCGCAGTGTTCGCTATTGCACGATCATATATCTACAAACATACTTTTTGAAGGTAAAGACCATAAAATCTAATGTAGGTCTTCGAATGATAAACTAAAAAAACATGCTCAAACTGTTGTTTTCTTTTTTTTAAGTATTTGCTGGTTGAAGTTGAGTTTTGCTTGCCTCTGCTAACAGAGCCGCGGATCGTTCCGCCAAAGAAGACGCACGGTATTAATCATGTGTCTTAGAATAAATTGCAAGCCTTTCTTAGGACGCCTTTGGCAGTTTCATCGCCGAGGAAAACACAAAATTGTACTTTGTGGTTCCACAGGCAGCTTTTGCATCGGCGGCGCTCAGCCATTCGGCACGGAAAGCAACGAGATTGTTCCTAGGCTTAACCACTTGCACGATATAACTGTCTAAATGTGCACTACAAATCACAGCATATTTGGTGACGATATATTCCGTGGACAAAACATCTCGTAGGGCTGGTTAATGCCTATACTGTAAACGACTTAATTTTCACGGGCTCAAATTTTCGCGAATCGGGCCAAAGCTGAAAATTTTAAATTATTCGTGGGTCCTAATTTTCGCAAATTAAGTGCAGCTTCCGTAGCATTCACATATGCTCCGAATTGTTCGCGGGCCCTATTTTTCGCGAATTGCAGGCGATTCGCGAAATTCACAAAAATTAGGTCCCCACGAAAATTTAGTCGTTTACAGTTTTCGAACTTTGTTAGCCGTGTGTACCACGCAGCCGCGCTCGCTTCCGTAATTTCTGCGAGGATGTCGTGACGCACATGCCTGCAGCCATGGTGACTTGGCTTAGCATGGCTTGTATTGGCCGCTTAACTGGCTCCAGACCTTGGTGGTTCAATCGCACGTTACACTCATTCCTTCTTTTTCCTGACCGACGTTCATGGCAAATAAAGCAATAAAGTGTGCACGGGTGCGATTTATGCTTGGTCAGCATAATCGCGAGACATTTTAATGCTCCCGGTCTTGCCAAACTTCTTAAGCACATAAAAAAAAAAAAAAAAAAATTTGAATTAACGAGTCCCAGAGGTTAAACTTGGGACTACCGCAAGTTTTTTCCGATAGATTTGTACATGTAATTTCCGGGACCACATGCTTCAAGCTAACCTAAAATTTAAATAAAGCGACCAAATTACGGGGAGTACACTGTATAGCTGTGGTGATAGAATCTGAAAGTACGAGAACATGACGTTACCTGGATCACACGGTACAAAAGAGAAACGCAATTTCTCTGAGCCGACGTCCATCTAAGACTTGTGTTCATCGAACCGGAAAATGACACTGTGGGTGCCTGTAGCCTTTATTTTAGTGAAAACTTTGTCAGCAAAAAAAGACAATGTTTCTTTCTTTCTTGCTGATAAGTTTGAGTTAATGAAATGTGGATGAGTGAGTGCATGAGTTTGAGTAAGTGCAAGCTGAGCTTGAGTTAGTGAGTGAGTGAGTTGGTAAAAGGTGAAAAAGTAAAGGCGGGTTCACAGACTTGCGACTGTTTATGACCGAGCGCCTTAAAACTTCATGGAACCTCTTGCGACGAGAGACCATTCTTTCTTTCTTGACTCGCAAAATCTTTTGACAATGTTGCAAGCTATTTCGCATAGATAGTACATACATTTGATCTCGCATACGCTGCAAGACCTTGCTCTAGTGAAATGCAGTTCCGGGGTTGCAAGTTCCAGGTCGCAAGAACTCGGTCGTAAGCAAACACGTAGACCAGCCTTTAGTGAGTGAGCCAACTATCAAAAGATTTTGTTCACGCAACATTGTTCCCGCCCTTCCCTTTTTTCGTGTTCCAGCCAACGTGACCATCGAAGTGTCCGAGATCTCGAAGAACCAAGTGGAAGGCGATCCCCTGACCCTCTCCTGCAAGGCCTTCGGGGTTCCTGTGCCAGAAGTCACCTGGTTCAAGAGTAAGCGCCCGTCTGAGGATGGACTGCCCGCCACAAGTAGCCGGGGTCCGAACCCCCGGCGACATTGATGTGTGGTGCCTGCGATGCGTTTAGGACCGGTCTGTTTACCGCACCTTAAAAAACAATCCCTCGATGTCCGCCTGTTGACGTCTTAGAAGTGTGGCGTTGCAGCGGCGGACCTAGCAGACGCCTGTTCTGACCACAGGTCGTTGTTCAGCCATGAGTCGCGACGACTGCGACACTCGCAGTCGCTCGTACTTGTTGCCGGGACTTCTGTGTCATCTGCCGGCATCGTGACGTCAGATGGCGTGACACATCGGCTTCTGCGACATTGTTCGTCGCTGCTTCGGTACCGCTTTTCATGCATGGGTGGGATAGGGCGCTAAAACACATCAGTCGAAGATTCCTTCTAGGCAACATAGTTCAGGTGGATCCCACAGTTGCGTTTTAGGATCGAGACACGCACCGTTCCGGTCGTGCTCATAACCTGGTGCAAAAATCGATCGATCGGTGCAAGAGCTTAATGCAGGATGTACTGGTGGGTCAACTCGCTTCAAGAAAAATAAAGGGGAACAATCGAGTCCTATGCAAAGCAAGTTCGTCCGCTTCTTTGCGCGGGGGTTACGGTGACGTCGGAACGCTGAGCTTTGTTTGGCTCCGATTGGAAGGATAGTGAGTAGACCTTGATGGCAGCTAGCCACGGCGCATGTCTCGATCCTCAAGGCAGCTAGCATTGAAATCTACCCACAGTCCTTCTAATCGGAGCCAAACAAAGCTCGGTGTTCTGACATCTCCGCAACCCCTGTGCAAGAAGCAGACGAACTTGCGCTCCGCATTGTTTGCGAGTCAGTGGATGTCTAATAACACTTATGTGCCTCTGCAGGCAATTCTTGTTCACTCGTGCTTAGCAGGCGGTTAAGATAATAGCTCCTGTGTTATATAGAGATTGTGTTCAATAGCACTTGGACCTGCGCAGTTCCCGGAACGTGTTTGCACTTCTTGCAGATTCTAATACTCCATTTAACCTGGCAATGGGCAGTACTGGACGCCACGGGCCGTCCGAGCCAATCCAGGGGTGTGCAAGTGTCGCATGACCTCGGAGATGGTTGTGGCGATAAGCGAGGCACGCAAGTCGTGCGATGCATTCGCAGCACCAGATTTATTGGGGAGATTCTTAGCGACTGCTGCAGTTCATTGTAAGGTGAGACGGAGTATAGTGTCGTCTAGAGCCACTTTGTAAGTGAAGAATGACACTTTACCCGTCAGGTAGATGGGTGGATGGATAATAGCAGCGTTACCCTTTGCAATGAGTGGTAGCTTGCACCACATAGTCTCTTGGTGCTTGAGGTCATGGTTGCCAGTTACACAAAGCTTTATTTCAAATCGCAGAAAAGGCTTTTCCCTTCTCCGGAAACGTCAAAACGGTTTGCGGCAAAAGAAGAACAATATCGTCAGAGTTTTCCCGACCCTTTATCTGAAGCTCAGGAAGTCGCATTTTCAAATTGTTGCTATCACCTGTGGTGGCCCGCTCTGGACTAGGCACCAAAATGGCGGTGCCCACAAGAAAGTTTCCAGAATTTAGTGAAGATCTTTGAGCATAGTTTATCTGGCGGCTTTGGTGCTACAGCCGCGCATATGTAAGCCGCAGGGCTCTGGTCTACAGATCCTCATCTGGCACATTTCAGTGCCGGCAAGGTGTGGCGCAAGCTGACGGGGGGCTTACTGCTTTTGACATGCAATCGAGATGTCGGTTGCACGTCAAAGGGATCCCCAGGCGGTTCTTTTGGCAAGGTGCCCTTCGTTGGTTTGGCGCATAAAAACCCTCGAATTGGATTCCAGCCGCACGTATCCATAGTACTGAAAACCCCTCTGGCTGTCGCAGATGACGAGCCTCTCAACATCTCCGACCCCCGCATCTCCCTGGAGCCCCTGGACAACGTCACCAACGCCAAGCTGGTGATCCAGAACCTTAACTTCGACGACCGCGCAGAGTACACCTGCTTCGCCACCAACGGCATCAGCAACGCCACCATGATGGTCCTGGTCCGGGTCAAGGGTAAGTCGCTTTCGTACTGCTGCATTCCGAAGCTCGTGCACGGACTGCCACTTTTAACATTGACAGTGCCAGGGTTTAAAGGGGCACTAAACCACTTTTTGATATCCTCGTTCTATGGTCATAGCTCATCTACGAACTCTCAAGGTTCGGTAGCACCATCTGTTGTTCCGTGCCGACAGTGAGTGTAGGGAACTTTGATCACTATTTTTTTTTTATGTGCAAATCGATCACCATGAATGTGATTTCGGGTTTTTTAAGATGCTTAGAGCTCGTAGATCAAGTCATGACTATAGAACGAGGATCTCAAAAAGCACTATAGTGCACCTTTAATAGAGCTGACGTCATGAAGTCAAGGCCACAATGCAGCCACGAGTTTCACAAACAAGAACAATGCATTCCAAAGTCTCGAATAGGGCACTAGGTTGTTGGTAGAAAAGCAATACCGCATTGGTAGAGTTTGTTTCAGATGCTTTACATGGGGGAATCAGCTCGTAATACAGTCAAACGCATATATAACAAAGTTTATGGGACCGGCAAAATTTTTTGGAGTTCAGGTAACTTCGTTGTAGTAGTTGAGCACAAAACATTAATCGTGCAAGATCGAATTTTTGCTATAGCACATTGACATATACTGCGCGACATTCAAGGTGTTTTAGGAGAAGGTATAGTGCCAGATATAGCATGAGCGACATCAGAAACAAGGTTTTGTACGTTGACAATTGACTTATCAAAAGGAGAAACGGTGACCGACTTCGTGAGCTCATCGCGGCTCTGAGCATGTGGGGCAGAAGCTCGCACTGCAGAATCCAAGCATTTCAGGCTCAATTACCTTTTTTTTTTTCTTTTTTTCTTAGTTAAAATATATTGGCACACATTTGTGTACTCGCCACTGAAGATGCCAGGCTAGCGGTCGTACTGCCAGTACCGCCACTGGCAAAGTTTTTGATTTGCAGCCGAAAAACCAGGTGCTCCTTGCTGCAGACCAATTTTTCACTGTCCGAACCACACGACAAACTCAACTGACTCGTCAAAATATCAAATCGCAACAATCGTGAAACTACCTACATCGACCCCCAATCGCGCATCGAAGGCGTTCACTGACTGTGCAAGTTTGGCCTTTCCTAAATCGGGCGGCGGCTAACGCTGCCACATGTCATTCGGAGGAGGCTTTCGAAGCGGCTGCGCTGCTGTCGATTGCATGCATAGTCGCTAGGTGGTGTAGGAGTGGGCGCAGCAGCATACAGCGGCACAGCAGAATCAGCCATGCACTTGGCACGCGACAGCTTAACAGCTGCAGCGCACGGCGCAATGAGGCGCACAGCCGACAACTGAGCTATTTCTTCGCATCTGTTCACACAAAAATGGGCGCGCATTTCTTTCTGTGCAGCTCTACGGATTTCGCTTAAATTTTGGCGTCTCGAGCAGAGTCGCGGATGATTTTCTCGACCGCATGTTATCGCTCCAAGGCTGAACAATTTGGGACTCTTGATTAAGGCAAGATTGGGAGTCTTGAATCCTGACAAAGATCGGCGCGTCAGTCGAACAAAAGCCAAGACAGCGTAAGAAAGTTGCAGCTGTCAACAAAAATCTTTTTTTTTGTTTGTAATTTTTGGAGGTTTTTTAAAATGTGCCATTTTACACGCAAAATAAGAGAATGAGGGTGCCTGTTTCCCAGTATTATTGTTGAAAAAAAAAAAACTGATCTTGGAGCGAGTAGCACGTACTCAACGGATTGAGCAAAACGAAAGTATGCAGCAGCGCACGGCGAAGGTGTGGTGATGCCTCTGTCGCGCTGCTTTCGTTGCTTCTGCGCCACGCATTCTTGGTTTTGGGTCTAAATAATTTGTTAGTGTGCAGCCTTGTGTCTAGATAGCACTACATTGCTGCTTACAGGCTTTCTACACACGTAGTGCCATCTACACACAAGGTTCCATACTGACAAATCATTTAAGCCCAAAACGGAGAATGCGGCGGCTGCGGCGGTTTCAGTTGCCGGCACTGCTGCAGTATTTCTCTTCTCTAGCACGTCACTTGAGAGACAATTTACGTGAAGACGATTACTTTCCACCTAAAAAATTCGTAATACCGGTAATTTTTGCTTCGTGGGTCTGCAAAATTGCTTTGTTAAACTTAAATACTGTAAACGACTTAAGGGGGGACGCGGGTTTTAAAACAGTAAAAAATCGCGAAAAAAACGTTTTTGAGAAAATTGTTTTTTTGAAGCCTTCATACTCTAAACTGCCTCTATGCAAAAGATCTATGCCGAAAACTATCTCAAAGCACGATAAAAACGACTTTATCATGAGCCGCGCTACTCCGGAGCGATGCACGAGCGTCGAAATGAGGCTGCACTTCGCGCAATCGCGATTCCGAAACTGCTCCACGAATCGCCGCCATTTTGATATCATTTGAAAGCTTGTTTCGCGCCCTTTCTTTTGCCTCCACTCAAGATGACGTCAGCGCGGCGCAGCCGATGCTGTCACCGTTTTCCCGCGGCACGATCTCGAGCCGCTCATTGGCTGAAGCGCGCGCTCCCGGGAATGCGTCGCGGCTATTGGCTACTCTCCCTCCGTTTCTTTTTCCCGGCGCTTTCCACTCGCACGCGCCGGTCTCCGTCGCGAGCTCTGTCGTCTGCTCTTGTGTCTCCGCATGGTTTCGTTTTTCTGCTATTGGAGCGTTTTTCAAGATCGTCAAGCTTTGTTTTTGTAGATGTCTTGCTCGTCTGAGTAAGTTTTTCTGTCGTTGTTGTTCACGCACTAGTGTACACGTTTTCTGCGAACTTTCTTTCCGCATTTCTGTCACGCTGCACGTGGCGAAACGTGGTTACTGCGAGGAGCTGTGCTTTGTTTGAGAGCCTCGCAAGCAGCATGCGCGGAGATCATCGCTTGAAGTTGCGGACCCGTCAAGCGTACGGCAAGAAGCGCAAACGTGCTTGGAACAAGGGAGTGAAGGAGCCGATCGACAGTGCGCTGCATTCGTCGGAGCTGCGTGGGGATGACTCCGTCGATGACCCCGTCGACACCAACCCCGTCACAGCCGATCTCGAAGCTACGCCAAGTACGTCGGGCTTCTATGGAAACCGGATTGACACCACGTACTACACTGCGGAAGAGGAGTCCGAAGCTTTGAAAGAAGCTGAAGAAAAAAAGCGCCATTTGGCGTCGCAGTCTGCGAGTCAGCGGAAGTTCGACCTGCTCAACGTCGATTCGGAGAGAACTGAAGTTGACGGTGGAACGGAGTTCATCATTGTGAGCATGCAAGTACTGAACGATTTTTTTTCGCGTACGAACTGCAAGGGGTGTGGTGCAAACACTGTGACCCTTGAGAAACGCGGGTCCGACTACGGCTTGGCGCACAGACTGGTACTAGTGTGCTCAACGTGTGAGGTGCGTGAGCAGCGCTTTTCATCGCCAAGGGTGGCCGGCGCCAACAAGATCACACCTTTCGAGGTGAGCATAAGGGCGATGCAGGCAATGCAAAGCATCGGGAAGGGGTCGGCTGCCCTCACCGACTTTTGGGCGTGCATGAATGTGTCTCACCGGGGCCTCCATCACAAAACTTTCAATGGCCATATGGACAAAATGTTGCAAGCTGCTGAGGCAGCTGCTGCAGCCAGTGAAAATGAAAGTGCTGCAGTAATCAGGAGTCTTTACAAAGACTTCCTGAACCCTCCAGGTAACATTGATGTTATCTTCGACGGGACCTGGAAAACTCGGGGCCATGACTCGCACATCGGTGTGGGATGCATAATTGAACTCTACACCGGCCTCGTGATTGACCACGAGGTGGTATCGAACTTTTGCTTGGGGTGCACGGTGGGGCCAAAGCCTGACAAGGAGAACTTTGAGGAGTGGCAAGAGAGGCACAAGTGCCAGAAGAACAGCGACTGTAAGGCAGGCCGGATGGAAGTTGAAGAAGCCCTAGCCATGTTTCGTCGGTCCCTCGCCAAGCACGAGCTGAGGTACACGACCATCCTGTCAGACGGTGACAGCCGTACCTTTCATGCCCTGACGGAGGAGGAAGTGTATGGCTATGTGACCGTGCAGAAGAAAGACTGCCTAAATCATGTACAAAAAAGGATGGGGACAGCTCTGCGGAAATTAAAAACAGCGCGGAAAGACGAGGACCAGACAAAGAAGTGACACGGACGTAGCGCTGACTTACAACTGAGTTTATTGAACGCAAACTCGCAATATTTATTTGCGGTGTCACGAACAAAAGAACATAAAAAATTCAGCCCATGTGATGTATCACCAATAAAAATAAAACAATGATAAAAAAAACATTGAAAAAAAAAACATTGAAAAAAATAATAATGAAATGCGCCATGACACAGCCGTACAGAGTATGTGCCAAAAATCGAGCAAGTCACGGAACTAGAAAATTCATCTCTTTGCCTGATAGGGCCACAGAAGGACTGCTTACACATGCTGCACCCAGCCTCGCTATCTCAACAGCCTCTAGAATTTCCCGAGTAAGCTGGTCCCTATGACGCTTAACAACCTCACACCGTTGGAAGTCGGGAAGGCAACCACAGTCGCGGCAATGAATGCCCAGGTGACCAGACACGGTTGTGGAGACGCTGTAAGCGTGCTCTCTCAACCTGTCGTTGAGACAGCGGCCCGTCTGGCCAACGTAGCGCCTGCCACACGTCAGAGGGAGAGAATAAACAACCCCCTCCGAACACGGGATGAAGCGATCTCGATGCCTCGTACTGCAAGCCGTGGCCGCCCTCGAAGAAGGGTTAACAGCTCTGCACAACCTGGACAGCTTGTCCGGGGCAGAGAATAAAACGTCGACGTCACACCTGCCAGCAATGCGTTTTAGGTTGTGGGACAGGCCGTGTACGTAGGGAATAACCACAAACTTTCTTCTTTCCCTTCCCTTTCTGTTGTTGGCCTCTTCTTCACTTCTCATAGGGCTGCTCTTGATATCTTTCAGCAAAGACTCGGCGACCGTTGTTAACACGTGAGAGGGAAACCCAGCATCTGCGAGGCGTTCAGTTTGCCTGTCAAAGCTATGTTTAATTTTATGATAACAAGACCTACGCAGCGCATGTGTATAGCAAGTCCTTGCAATCGCCCGCTTGACAGTTTTTGAGTGAGCGGACTCGAAAGGCAACAATGGCTTTCCAGCACGGGGTTCATAGCTCCAACAAAGATGACCTGGACATATAGTTAAATTCAAATCCAAAAACCGGATGCATCCTGCCTCAGGCACTTCATGAGTCAGAACAAGTGGCGAAAGGCAATGACTAAAAATGCCTAAAACGCCAGTCATTGACGAAAGAAAGGATACGGCATCGGCATGAAACAAAATCAGAAAATCATCTACGTACCGGAAGACCCTTGCAACTTTGGTTCCCCCAAGCCGTTCAAAGATGAGGCGGTCAAGGCTCGCTAACAACAAGTCGCTAAGTACGGGGGCAATGCAAGAACCGGTTCTTGCATTGCCCCCGTACTTAGCGACTTGTTGTTAGCGAGCCTTGACCGCCTCATCTTTGAACGGCTTGGGGGAACCAAAGTTGCAAGGGTCTTCCGGTACGTAGATGATTTTCTGATTTTGTTTCATGCCGATGCCGTATCCTTTCTTTCGTCAATGACTGGCGTTTTAGGCATTTTTAGTCATTGCCTTTCGCCACTTGTTCTGACTCATGAAGTGCCTGAGGCAGGATGCATCCGGTTTTTGGATTTGAATTTAACTATATGTCCAGGTCATCTTTGTTGGAGCTATGAACCCCGTGCTGGAAAGCCATTGTTGCCTTTCGAGTCCGCTCACTCAAAAACTGTCAAGCGGGCGATTGCAAGGACTTGCTATACACATGCGCTGCGTAGGTCTTGTTATCATAAAATTAAACATAGCTTTGACAGGCAAACTGAACGCCTCGCAGATGCTGGGTTTCCCTCTCACGTGTTAACAACGGTCGCCGAGTCTTTGCTGAAAGATATCAAGAGCAGCCCTATGAGAAGTGAAGAAGAGGCCAACAACAGAAAGGGAAGGGAAAGAAGAAAGTTTGTGGTTATTCCCTACGTACACGGCCTGTCCCACAACCTAAAACGCATTGCTGGCAGGTGTGACGTCGACGTTTTATTCTCTGCCCCGGACAAGCTGTCCAGGTTGTGCAGAGCTGTTAACCCTTCTTCGAGGGCGGCCACGGCTTGCAGTACGAGGCATCGAGATCGCTTCATCCCGTGTTCGGAGGGGGTTGTTTATTCTCTCCCTCTGACGTGTGGCAGGCGCTACGTTGGCCAGACGGGCCGCTGTCTCAACGACAGGTTGAGAGAGCACGCTTACAGCGTCTCCACAACCGTGTCTGGTCACCTGGGCATTCATTGCCGCGACTGTGGTTGCCTTCCCGACTTCCAACGGTGTGAGGTTGTTAAGCGTCATAGGGACCAGCTTACTCGGGAAATTCTAGAGGCTGTTGAGATAGCGAGGCTGGGTGCAGCATGTGTAAGCAGTCCTTCTGTGGCCCTATCAGGCAAAGAGATGAATTTTCTAGTTCCGTGACTTGCTCGATTTTTGGCACATACTCTGTACGGCTGTGTCATGGCGCATTTCATTATTATTTTTTTCAATGTTTTTTTTTTCAATGTTTTTTTTATCATTGTTTTATTTTTATTGGTGATACATCACATGGGCTGAATTTTTTATGTTCTTTTGTTCGTGACACCGCAAATAAATATTGCGAGTTTGCGTTCAATAAACTCAGTTGTAAGTCAGCGCTACGTCCGTGTCACTTCTTTGTCTGGTCCTCGTCTTTCCGCGCTGTTTTTAATTTCCGAAGTATGTACCAACTCGCCCAAGCCTCAACTTTAGCATCAGACAGCTCTGCGCACTCTTGTGGAGAAAAAGAAGGCCCAAGGGAATCCCCTTGGAGGAAGAGGCCGGCTAACACAAGACAAAATGAAAAAAATAACCAACTATTATGGCTATGCCCTCAGAGGTCACAAACACGACGTGCCAGGAATGAAGAGGGCGGTGCAGGCTACGCTTCTGCACATGACCTCAACAGATTCTGCACCTGACCACAGCCTGTGCCCACAGGGTGCAGAGTCCTGGTGTGGCTTCAACCGCGCCCTCTCCGAGGGCAAAAAGCCACCTGCGCACAGGAACAGCCTGCCGACTGATGTCCGTGTGGCTTTGGAGCCAATATTTGCCCGGCTGAGCGACGAATCCTTACTGCAGCGCTGCAGTGACGGAAAGACTCAGAATGCAAGCGAGTCTTTACATTCTGTGATTTGGAGCCTTTCACCGAAGACTCAGCATGCTTCCCTGTTCAGCGTGCGGAGGGCAGTGGCAGAGGCAGTTTCCCGGTACAATCAAGGCGTGATGAAGACGAACAAGATTGTCACAGAGAGTCTCGGCTTCGCTCCTGGACATTGCCTTACCCGCAGGAGTCACGAGAAGGACCAACATCGGCTTCACAGGGCCAACAAGGTCCACTCAGAGAGTGAGAAGACTGTGAGGAGACTGGCCAAGAGGCACACAAGGGACAAAGACCAGGACTACAGCCCTGGACTGCTTTGAGATCTCATAAGGTGTTCGTGAACTTCGGGTGCCTGTATCTCTGTTCGTGTTTTCTTGAATATAACCACCACCTTACGGGCTTTTTCTCAGGTTTGCCTTGGGCGGTCAAAACAATTTTGGTATCATTTGATTCAGGATGGATAGAACTGTGCGGTGATGCTATTTTCCATTTATTATATGTTATGTAATGAACACAATTAATTATTTCTTGAAATTAATAGCAGGCCGATTTTGCAGCTTCTGAACATACATGTTTTTATACATATGTCACCACTAATGTTGGTCTAAAATAGCATCACCGCACAAAGCACACCTTGGTGAACACATTTCTATAAAAATTTCTGAAACTTTATGAAAACTTTTGCACTAATTACCCGTAACAAAGGGCCCAATTACATTTGACAAATTTGTTATAATTCAAGTTCCACTAGAGCTATCCAAAATCTAATTACATATTTGAAATCAGCAAGAAAAACCATGCTTACATGGCGAATATGATGAAGATCCTAGCATAAATAAAAAAAATGGCTCAAGAACCCACATGTCCCCTTAAGTTTCGCGGGCTCAAATTTTCGCGAATTTGGCCAAAGCAGAAAATTTGAAATGATTCGCGGGTTCACATACTGCCCGAATTGTTCGCGGGACGTATTTTTCGCGAATTGTAGGCGATTCGCAAAAATTGAGTCGTTTACAGTATATGTTAAACAAGAATTTGTTGTAGTAGTCTGAGAAACAAATTGAACACATGGGAGATTGGTCGTAGTGAGGCGTTTGACTGTCTTGCCAGCTTACCAGTGGCACCTTTTTACTGGCATCCACCATCTACATAAGTAGGTGGAATGGTTAGTTGCCTAACAAGTACTGGTCGTCGAGTTGATAAAGCGCAGAGTGTGACGGCAGTGAACTGTGTGATGCTTTAAGAAAGCTGGCTGAAACAGCTCGTGTTGGTGTTGCGTCTGCGCAGACAAGCTTGCTGCCCTGTGGCCCTTCCTCGGGATCTGCGTCGAAGTGGCGGTGCTCTGCGCCATCATCTTCATCTACGAGAAGAAGCGCGTCAAGCCCGACTTCGAGGAGTCGGACACGGACCAGAACCCAGAGAAGTAAAGCACGTTTCTCTTGGCGTTTAAGGGGTATCACACGAGAGAGAAATCCCGGGGATTTCTCCACTACCTTGTGACACCATGTTGTGGCACCATTTTTTGGCCCATATTCTGACACCACTTTGTGACACTAGTCATACCACATTGTGGCAGCACTTCGTGACACTAGTCTGCAATACCATATCTGGTGCCACTTTGTTGGTCCACATTTTGACACAACTGTGATACTAGTCATATCCTATTCTGGCACCACTTTGTAACATTAATCATACCAAATTGTGACACCAGCCAATGATATCACATTGTGATGCTAGTCTGGGGTGGGCATCACTTTGTAAGACCAGAATGTGATGCTACTTTGTGACACTAGTTATACTACATGTGACACCACTTTGTTATGCTACTAGTCTGTGATACCACATTGTGGCACTAGTCTATGGTACCACTAGTGTAATACAATATTGTGGTACTAGTCCGTGATACCACATTGTGACACTACTTGGGATGTAGTCTATGGCATTAAATTGTTGCACCGCTTTGTGACATTAGTTTGTGATCACACAATGTGACACTACTTTGTGAAACAGCATTGGATTCAACGTCACCTTGTGAACTGCACTGCACCACATGGTGATATGTACTACTTGAATGCTGCAAGCACTATTAGGTACTTTGAGTATTGGCTGTTCATTGGTTTTGTGCGCTTTTTATCCTGCATTCCTATATTTCAAGATCCCCCACTTATTGCCTAATTCGCAAACCTCGCTCCAACTGAGGCGCCCTTCACTTCCTCAAGGAAGGCGCGAGGGCCGGCGCTGGGGGGCCAATGGCGAGGACGGATAAGCAGCCCAGGCCGCCTATCCGTCGTCGCGATTGGCCAGCGCTGGCCCTTACGCCTTCCTTGAGGAAGTGGAGGGGAGCCTCAATTGGAGTGAGGTTTATGAATTCGGCAGTTACGCAATGTTCTTCCTGTGCCTGTAGGCTACTACAACAAATAAATAAATGCATCATTTTGTGACACTACTTCGAGAAGCCGCTTGCAGCATTGTGGTAGACACTTTGTGATGCACCACATGGCGATACTACTTTTGGTGCACGACCTTGCAGCACAACTTTACGAGACTGCATAGGGACACCACAAGGGCAACAACTAGCTTTGTCTAGTCTGTTCGGCACAGTGCTAGCTGGACATGCATCAACTTTGTTTCTGGATATCCACACATTTTTTTTTTACCTTTTTACACAAATCCAGAGTGCTACTCGGTCAAAAAAAAAAAGCTGTATAAATACACACGCAGTGCAAGTAATCTTTGAACGAAGGTGTTCTGATGTGGTGCATTTAATATACTAAAATTTCGTAAATGTAGCTGTCTGCAAAAGAAAAAAAAATAATGCGTGCACAGAAAAATTTGTTTTCTACTTGGGGGAGCAAAACAATCAAACCTTCAGGTTTGTTTCTACTCCCATATGGTACCAAATGGTACATAAACTTCTTGGAGATGAACACTTAAAAGCAGATCCGACTCGAGGTATAGGGAATGTATATGCCCGCCTCGCCTTCAAAGAACTGCTTCAGATTTCTCGGTGGTATTTTGTGATGTTCTCACTTTCTCCACCTTTCAGCAAAAACTTGTCAGACCAGAAGGAAGGCCAGGACATCAGGCAGCGGAAGTGATCCCGAGGACTCAAGACGACGACGGCGCCGACGACAACAATCGATTGCCGGCCGGCTTTTCCTCTTGTCTGTCAACGGCGACGCCACTGCATCCCCTTCCACCTCTCCCCCTCCTACGCCCTTTCACCTTTCCCCCCTCCTACGCCATTTCTGTTTCTGCGGCGGAACGAGTTTTACGGATGAGCGGGACCAAGTCCCGCAAAAGCGTGCACTACCGTTCTGCCCCCCCCACCTCCCCCGCCACACTTTTAGGGCTAGTCCACACACTTTCGACTGCCTACGACCGGAGAGGCTCGAGACCGGTTTTTAACCTGTCCGGTTGCGCTTAGTTGCAAGCTGTGCAGGTCGGGGGCAGTCGCATGAGGCGGTGTCTGGCTGAAGGCTTGTGAGCTGACCTTTAGCCGGACATCACTTTGTCGCTCCCTCCGGCGACGAACATCAAAATATAGATCGAACTTGGGGAATTTCTGGGTTTTCTTCATTCTTTGTTTTCGCCCCGGAGGTTTTTAGGCCTGCCAGATACTTAATATTTCTTTCTTTTTTTCTTTGTTATTGTTGACTTTAAGTTGGCATGGTCCGCATTGTTAATAAGTGTATCCAAGAATTGTTTCGGTGTGTGGATGTGGCGCGGTTCCTTTTGAACTTGCGTGCCTGCAAAAAAAAGGGCTGCCCTTAGGTACTAGACACGTAGGCGAGCATTTCTCCACTGTACATACAGTCGCCGAGACAGGCTTCTTTTTTTTCCCCCCTTTGTTTGTTTAGTGTATTATAGCTCTATGGAAGAAGTGCAATTATCTTTGTTATCTGTATAAGAGCACATTTGGATAATAAAACCGTTCAACCAAAGTTGCCTTTCCTTCCCTGTCTGCCGTGAGCAACTGTTCGCTGTCTGCTGGAAGGCTGTAGGTGTGCAAGACTAGACAAAATTTAGAATGGTGCAACATAGTTTAATATGTTATGTCTGCCATGTATGAATGCTTATGTTGACTATGGTCATCGTTCCACACCTGTTCCTATTTGGGTGTTCAGTCTACCTAAAGTATAAATAAATAAATAATAAAGTAGTACAGTATTTGCTAGACCAACAAATTAAGGGACTGCATGCAAGTAATGCACCAGATGGGGCCCCTTCTGGCTTATCCCTAGAAAGTTCGCTATTCTGTGGTGCTGAAGTAGTATACAGCATTTTTCTTTTATTTACGCTAGGTCCTGGTTTTTTTTATGTTTATTGCTTGGTACAAAAAATTAAGCAACCATTATACAAAAAAAAAAAAAAAAAACAATGTCCGTGCTGTTTGCCAAAGAAATAGACTGTTTTCTTCAACACAAAATTGAACCATGCATTACCGCAACCTTGGTCTATGCCCAGGTGTCAGTTCCGTAGCTTGTCGTTAACTAATTCAATATTTGTAAGCAATTTTCAGAAATTTTCATTAGGGAAATGGCAGCCAACGAAGCCTTTGAATGCATGTAGATGAATGGCATCGGCCACTGGGACCGAGCCCCATTTTCCCATTTAAAATTTCAGAAAATCGTTTTTACCTTTTGAACCAGATGATGGCAAGCTATGAAGTACTGACATCTGGTCTAAACATCTAGCCTCGCATCTGGGTGGAGATGGAGGTTGTGGCAATGAAGAATTTATTTTTGCAGCAAAAAACAAAACAAAACTTAATTCTTTTGTGCAGACATCCTGTATATCGCATCTTTCAATCTATAGACATTTTTTGGGGCCTTCGTCATTTGCTCTGCCCCTTTGTAGGTTGTAACGATTAGCCGTCCATGCAGCTTGCACGCTGCACATTCCGTCCAATACCTTCTATAGGCCAATGCGCTGCTTACAAACGCCCTCGTGAGGTGTGGGCACTGCACGTGCGCAGGAACCAGATTCGCGTAAAGTGGAGCATTAGCATATGTGACCGGCCAATAGCAGCGCCACCGCAGCGGCGCAACGTTGGCGCTGCGTGTTGGTACATAGTCAGTAACAGGCGAGAGCCTTCTGCCTTTGACAACACTTTGTGGCACGTGCAACCAAAGCGTGGCAGAAGGCAGAGTTACTTTCTTGGCCAGTTTTAAATCCAGAAAGAAGAATCTAGGTGCACTTTCGAGACACCTTTGTCTATTCGCCTTGAGATTCCATCGGCGTGGCTCATGTGGGGAAAAGCAGAACTACGCTTCGCCTTAAACCTGCTTTGAGCAAAATGAATGCTATGGACGCGAGGCCGAAGCCATGGGAGGCGCCAATGCAGCGCCCATGCACTGGAATGGACTGCTAAGAGCTTGTGCACTGTACCCTTCCCCGTGCTCTGTGCGGGCAGTGTGGATGCTGTCTACACCTGCATTGTGGACAGAGAAAATCGCCTCGGAGAGGACCGTGTGTAAGCAAGAGCATGCTTCCCCTAAATTCAATTAGGATCTCCAGGCGAATATGGTCGGAGCAACACTGGCACTCCCGATGCATACAAGTGTTGTGGCAACATTTGAAACCATCTGGTTTTTCCTTTAGTCGGTCAAGTTGCTGCGCATCGATACGAATGCAATGTTCTGTAGTTTGTTTCACCTCAAGTCCAGACGCTGTGGGCTGGTGGGACCAGTCGGACGGTGTCAAAAGTACACCATCATGGTGTTCCGCATGTTTCTGTATGTGTTATATCATCGCTGGCCCAATCGAACAAAGGCCTAGTGGCTTGCACTCTCGATGCTGCTTGAGTGGTCCCATTAAATCATAGCGCCGGCTGTGTCTGGACTTGAGCCGAAATGAAGTATAGCAGAGAGAGTTGCACCTGGCTCTTTGGGGCAAGCTCCTTGTCGAAAGGCAACAAAACTGAGGAAAACAACCGTGAACGACAAACTTCAATTCTAGATGGTTTTATTTTGGTGCCCATCATAGTTTGGGAGAAGCGACACCGAGAGAAAACATTTCCGTTCCTCCACGCAATCGTGACAAGCCCCTGTCGTTGGTCGTTGCCCAGTCCCAAAGCAGCTCTTGGCCCTCGGTGACGAGACTGGTTAGGATGAGGCCCAACATGCTTTTGACCAGATGCACTATGCACGTATGTATGCACCGAAGAGCTGCAATTGCCTAGTATCACTAACAAGTATCACTTTGTGGGCTAGTTACAGAACTCCAAGTTGCTCATCCCAAGCCAACTAGCATAATAATAAAGAGAATGTTGTCGGGTATCTGGGATAAAAAGTTCTTGATCTTTTTATCCTTGAGAGAGTTCAGGCTAATCAGAAAGAAAACATTTTTTCTACTACAATGTACACTATGCGGCTGCAATTTGGTAAATATAAGCCCATTCTCTTGTTTTGTGTGCAATTATGTCGTACATAGGTGAGAGTGAAATATAGGCAAAGCTTCAAGTGGGGTGTGTGTTGCCTCTAGTTACAAAGGAACCTCAAAATTTGGTCTTCTAGTACACAATCATTTCATTTGACAGAAATTCCACTAATCTGAGAGGGCTCTCATGACAGTTCTACAGGCAATTGAGTGAACCTTTCCAAAGTTATAGATATCCAGAGTTCCACTCAACGGAATTTTATGCCACCTCGCACATTTACGTGGTAGCATGCTCTTGTCGAGATATGTTGAGCTCTGCCAGATCGGCGCAGAAAGTCTATGCGGAGCGCAAGTTTGTCTGCTTCTCGCGAAGGGGTTTCGATGACGTCAGAATGCCGAGCTCTTATTGACCGATTAAAAAAAAACAGTGGGTGACCTTAAGGCATCTAGCATTGAAGTCTGCTCTCTGCTCACTATCCTTTCAATTGGAGCTCGGCGCCATTCAGACGTCACCGCAACTCTTGCGCAAGAAGCTGACAACTTGCTCTTCAAATTTTTTTTTTTTTTTTTTGTTTTGCACCACAACAGTGAATTAAACATTTTCTTTTCAAAGTAACACACTAGGTATAGGGTATGGATAACTCAGAGCACAACATTGAGGAACGTCCAGCCTACTTTTCCGGTAGGGGTGGAATGAGATAATCTGAGTCATTTGCAGGTTATGGTACCTCTCAACCATCTATCACAGAAATGTTGTCACGACATGCGAAGTACAAAACAGGAACCCTCAAGTTCAGTGCACTGCCTAGCAAATTGGGCATGTTTTTGTCAGCAGCCTAGAAACAAAAATTCTGCCTGGAATGTTGAGTCTACGTAAGCACTGAGTGCCATCAAGCGCTAATGTTCTTCGAGTGCTTTGCTAAGGGACAAGCCTTGTATCGAGGCAACTGTGAGTGACATGATAGAGAGCTACTGATATCCTGCGTGGCAAAAGAAATTTAAAAAAAAGCAATGAGCCTGACTAGAGAGATGCCGAAGACTGCCTCCCGGCAACAAAATGGCGCCTCAAGCCACCCCGTTCCCCATCTCGGGAAACACCTCTTCGACCGCAAGGTCCAGGAGCACGTACGATAGCTGCTTGTTGAGTAGCCGCTGTTGCAGGCCCCGAAACAGAGCGTCCACCGCGACAGCGTGCCGCCTGGTGCCGATGAGCCGCACCAGGGGATCTGGAAGGAAGCGGCCCATCTCCTCGTGAAGTCTGACCGCTCTGGCACTCTTCTGCTCCGGCGTCCGCTCCAGCGTGTCCTCCCCAAGCACCGCCTCCCCCAAGAGCTCGATGAGTAACACCACACGCCCCGGCGCAAGGGCCTGCTCCAGCTTCCCGCCAAGGTACCGTTCCGTCGCCCCCTGCACCGAGCGGCGTAAGAGCGGTGCCAATGCACGTAAGAGTCTCAGGAGCCACGGCGCCACACAGAACAGGGCCTCAGCGAGGTACACGACGAGGTCGTACAGGGACCCCACGGTCTTCCGCGATCGCGGAACCGGAGACGCGTGCGGCCCCTGACGGACTCGGTGCTGCGGCGGCGGCGTCTTGGACGGCCGCGTTTGGCGCTTGGGGACCTCCGAAAAGTCCGGCCGAGGCCGGGCCGGCGCCGGCTGCGTCGACGCGAGGAACGTCTGCAAAAAGGGGTCGAGGTGCTGCCCCTTCTCTTTCAGTAGTCGCATCGGGACCGTGCGGATCATCTTCCCCAACTTGATGTCTGGCAGGAAGCTGGACGTGAACTCTTCGGCGTCATGACGGAGGAAACTGTAGAGCAGCTCCGAGCTGCGCAGCCGAGGAACCGTCAGCAGATCTCTCAGGTACTTCTCCAAAGCATTGCGATAGGGCGGCTGTTGCTGCCGCGACGGCGAACGCCGCGGTGGGAGCGGGGACACTGGAAGTTCACCGTGAAACTCCAAAAGCTTGGATTCTAGTGCGTAAAACTCGTGGTATCGTCGAGCCACCGTCCAGTGCAAGTCGTCGGGGCTGTCTCCGTCGCCGACGTCGATGCGCTGCACTTCCACGATGAAGGCCAGGTAGTGACGATGCTGCATGTCCACTCGCATCTCCACGTCAGGGATTGAGACCCTCCAGGCGCTCAGGTCCCGAAGTCGAGCATCGGGCAGCACCGGACGCTGAACGGGCTCTTCGGCGGGCTCTCCGACTTCTGTGGGTCCCAGCTCGTCCTGCCCGTCATCCGTGGGGGCCCACAGCACATCTCGGAATTTCTTCAGCTTCGCCCTGGTCGAAGACTTGGTCCCCGCAGATCGGTCTTGGGCCTTCCGCGCTCTGGCCAGCGTCCGTGCCTTGCACACCACCTCGAAGTACTTGTCACTCTCGAAAAAGAGCGGGAAGAAGACCTCATCCAGGATGGAATAGACGTTGTCATGTGCTCTGTAGAGCTGCCTCGAAGTCTGCAGTTCCACGATCTCCTCAGGGCCCTTCGCCAGGACCGCACCCACCTCAGCCGACGTACCAGGGATGAGGGGCACCCTGTGAGGCGCATCCTCGCACATGAACTCGTCGAAGATGGCCCTCGCCTGATCGTGGAGCACTTGCCGGTCATTGCGACCAAGATCCGGATTGAGGATTAGCATATGGAAGTCCTCCAACGCATAATAGAAATCGAGCAGATGACCTGCCCCTTCCTCCCTGAGGAACTGGACAAAAGGACCACGAAGGCGGTCGTCATCGTCGTCTAGCAGCGCCTGGAGGTCACGAGGTCGGAGGTCTCGAGGCGGCGGCCTCGGCGGCGCCGTGGCTGCCTCGAAGTGCTCCAAGAACTCGACCGGAGGACTCGAGTCCAGCGGGAGGTACGCCATGGGTGTCTTGTCAAGGAAGAGCAGCAGTAGATGGTTCACGATGTCCGGCTCGGCGATTAGGTCCATGGCCTTGAGCAAGAGCGTGCCTCCGATCAGCTCACGCAGCAGCGTGCAAGCGCTCTTGCATTTGAGGTATCGGTCTGGCAGAAGACGCTCCAGGAGTGCTTCGGTGAGGAGGCGCAGGTATTGGAGTTCCGCTTCGCGGCTCCCTACGGCCACATGCATCTGGCTACCTAGGCAGCCCAGGAGGAATCGGCCCTGGTCGCCCACGTCCGAAACCACGGACCGGGACCGGAGATACCAGTCGAGGTGAGACATCGAAGCCCGCGTCACAGGTCCGGTGATAAATCCGACCAGGTCTACGGCTGCGACGCGGCGGTAAAGCGCCGCCAGGAGATGACGCAGCACAACCCGAAGTTCGTGCACGAACAGCTCGTCTTTGCTGAGCTGCCCGTACCAGACGTGGACGTACTCTCGAAGCACGCCGTCCAGCAGCGTCTCGAGCGCCCGGTCCACCTCTTCCGGGATCTTGAGGTTACGCCACGGGAAGAGAGCGTACTCGTCGTCGTGCGTCGTCGGCCGGCGGCGCGCCGACCCCTTCCGTCGCGACGACCGGCGTCCCCACAGGTCCGGGACTTCGACGCGACCGTGCTTGAGAAGTCGCATCCATATACCACCGCACGCGAAGGACGCCAGTACTGTGATCCCCGACAGGCAACCCAGCCACAAGACGCATGCCGCTGCGATGCCCACGACGGCCGCGACCGTCGACGAGAGTAGTTTGTCGTGGCAGACGATCACACTGTACGAATGCATCGTTCGAAAGGCGGCCTAGTCGGCCGATCGAAGCGGTGACGGCGACTGCGGTGATTCACTATCGGGCTCGGGCATGATTGGGAAGACGCCCGCGACTACTGTTGTTCCTGCCGACGGAAGATCGGTCGGTCTTGGCTCGATGATGTCCTGAAGGGAGCGTCAACGGCGTCCCGGCCATGGCAGGTAAGTAAACAAGAAGTGCAAAGCAAGATCATTACGTGTTTGATCCTAGTTTAAGGTTTGCGAGTCCGCGAACGGTGAAGACGAAGTCGATGGCGTGATGGAAAGCCTGCAGCGGTGACGCATTTGTTTTTTTGGTTTCGTTTCTGCACTTTTTTCTGATTCAGCTAGATTCAGAGAAAAACTGGTCGCGCTCTATGCGGTCATAAAAATAACCCGTTTATTGACTTATTTTAACATTTATTTTAGATTAAAAGCTTCTAATTTACTATTTACTGATTTGTTTATTTTAAAAATTGACAAAAATAAAATACTTTTGTTTTTACATTGTGTGACGTCATGTTTGTTTTGAATCGCCACACCGGTCGATCAATCGAACAGATCAGTATTATGGCGGCATCTTTTCTTTGAAGATGATTTGTTCGCGTCTTATTTGAAAGTTACTTGAATGTCGGTTTCTGTCTGTTGGCACGAACTTTGATCAGCATCTTCAGCACTAGACGGATCGGCGAGCGTGATCGTAAGGCGGCCAGAATGCAGACTGACAACGGTAACGGCAATCCCATATTTCCGAAAAACGAAAAGGTTCAGACTGCTCATACCAACTATTCGCCGAAAGCTTTGTTTTTGCAAAAGCCCTCAGAAAATGAGCCTTCGCTTCGTCAGTCACAGGGCACGAGCACTCATTAATTTAAAACACTTGCTGAAAAAAAAATTATATATAGGGTGCCTGAAGTACCCATGCTCGATCTGAAATGGGCCGTAAAAATCGGCGCCGGTACGTAGCAAACTTTTCATTAAAGGTGCACTTCACTGGTCTGTTTTATCATGCATAGTAAACCATAGATTACGAAAGAATTACTAGCGAAAATACGTACAAAAAACTAGCTTTATCAAAAATTCATAAAAACGAAAGATATCGATAAACTTAGTGCCTTTAAACGTTATCGAAACCAATTGAACAAGGAACTCCGTAACGCTAGATCAAAATATTTTTGTGACTTCTTTCTAGCATGTGGAAGTAGAATCGATATGATATGGAAAAAGCTTAATTCCGTGTTGAAATGTATGGACGGTCCAAAGCACTTGGAAAATATAACCTACAATGGTCAGCAGCTAGCCGGAAAGGAACTGGCGAACAAGTTCAATGAATATTTTGTCAGCTTAAGTAATGAAATCCCCGAGGATGATGCCTGCAAGTATGTACAGTTTAGAAATTGTTCATCGTTCTTTCTTACCCCGGTTACTGACACAGAGGTAATAACTACATTTCAATCATTAAATAACAGTAAAAGCTGTGACCCTGACGGTATGCAAACACGTCATTGATCTTATCTCCGCTTGTCTGACGCATATCTTCAATCTTTGCTTTCAAAACGGCATATTCCCAGAACGAATGCAGTTCACAAGAGTATCGGTTATATATAAAAAGGGAGATAAAAACAATCTTGGTAATTATAGACGGATTTCAATTTTGCCAGTGTTCTTTAAAGGTCTAGAAAAAATGCCGCTCCTTCGAATATCAAAATTTGCAGATAGTCATAACATAATCACCCCATCTCAGTTCGGTTTGTGCAAGCAATGATCTACTGAACTCGCTCTTCTCACTCAAAAAGAATACATTCTTAAAGGTTTTGAAAATAAGAAACTAATTCTTGGCTTATTCATTGACTTCACGATCCCTTTTGATTTTCTCGATCACGACCTTCTAATTAAAAAACTCGAAATACATGGTTATCGGGGTCAGGTTTCGCTTCTTATTCAATCATACTTGTCTTTTCGTCAGCAGTATGTCGACATCACTGGTCAAGTGTCCGATGTAAAGCCAATTAAATCAGGCGTTCCTCAAGGAAGCATTTTGGGTCCTTTTTTATTTAATCTTTATATAAATGATATTGTAAATATAAGCAATTCAACGAAATTTATTATCTACGCAGACAACACAAGCATGCTCTTTAATGGAGATAGCCCCGCAGAACTCATTGTGCACGCAAATGTCACGCTAGAAAAGTTAAATACATGAAGTAGGTATAATGGGTTAAAAGTAAATGTGAATTAGACAAAGGCTGTTTTGTTTCGTCCGAAGGGTAAAATAGTTAGTATAGACGAGGATATAGTGTTCAATTCTTCTAAAATAGAAGTGGTACCAGCATTTAAAACTTTAGGTGTCTTTTTTCCAGAGAACATGTCACGGGATGCTCCTGTAAATTATGTCATCAAAACCGTCTAGCATTGTTGGCCTGGCGTATCATCACAAACATATTTTGCCTTTTAGAATAGAGTTTCTAATATATAACTCGCTATTTTACTCACAAATTAATTATGGCCGTTTAATTTGGGGAACAACCACTCATACAAATCTGCAAAAGATATTTTTATTACAAAAAAAATACTACCAAGCATTTGCAATGTTTCACCGGAATGTCTAATGGATAAATGATTTAGCCAGCTAGATGTAGTAAAAAAGTTTTAACTTGTATCGATATCGCCTATGTGTTAAATATAAAGCTGAAATTAGTATCAATGTACCACATCTTGTGAGCTTAGCTGACTTAAAAGGAAACCAACGAGAGTCACGAAACCTTGAGAAGTCCCATTTTTTAGAACTAATCACGGCCTTCAAACCGCGGCATTTACTCTCCCAACCACCCTCAACTATTTTTGTGCGCAACAAATCGAGCTTGAAAATAGATCAGCAGGTAACCTTAGGAACCTAATAATTATTAGCCAAACTGATCAAATGTGAGTGGCATGTTTATATGTTCATTTTTTGTTGTGTCTATACTATTGCTATTGTGACTTTTCTGTTTTGAACACCTTGGTTGATGTATCATTTTTCTGTTAACTTTTTTTTACGCTGCTGACTTCGGGGGCTCGTGACCAGTCAGGCTGTTTTAACAGCTTTTTTCCCGAGCCCCAACCAGCGCTGTACTATCGCGGACAATTCGAGCTGGAACAGCTCTCCGGCATGCCCATGGTACTAACTGCGCCGCCCGTCGCATCGCTTTGCGAACACGGCACACCCTGAGGCCGAGATAAATTCTCACTTGAGCTCCCTGCGCCGCTGCGCTCTTCCAGTCGTCTGCTAGCGAAAATATTGGCCGACAGAACCACCATCACGATGCATGTGCCGTGCAGCCCAATGTTCACGTTTTCAGCTAACGTGCATTTCAGTGCATTTCAACAAAGTGCCGAAGTGGAAAATGCGTTGTCACGCTCGTATGTCCTCAAGAAGCGCTGTTTGACAAAGCTGCCTTGGCCCCAAGACGAGCCGATCGGAATATCGTCAAACAGATCGGAATATCATCGAACATGTTTGGAGGCGCATTAACGTAGCCATGTCACGGCGTACCCTCCACCGCGCCACTCCCGACAAATTGTGGGAGGCAATGAGAGGTGAATGGGAGAGGCTTTGGGGCCAAACCAGACTTCGTGGCCGCGCTCTATGATTCCTTACCAGACGGGATGAGGGCCGTGGTTGCGGGTCAGGGGAGAATGACGCGGTATTATATACTTTTGTAAGTTTTACTGCCCCTCAGGAACCCCTGAACCGGACTTCTGCCGATTGGAACAAAACTTCCTGCTATTGTTGCGACACACTGTTTGACACCGTTAACCAGCGCATACATTTGTGTGCTGCATCCTTGATTCCGATCTTGTATCCTGCCGTTGACTTCCACGCCGACTATTAATCTGTTGTGTTTGACATTGTCCTCTGTGGATATTCTTTCGATGAAGTTTCAAGCTTTTTTTCCTGGCAAATACGACTGTTTGTCCAACTTTATTAAGACAAGGAATTTGTAAATAAAACACTGGTGTCTTGTCAGCAACTTGCTTTGTTTGAAACAAACACGTGGGCCCAGTAATAAAAAAATAATATTTTTCATACCAATCAAGGTCACAAAACCTTCGCAGTAACATGTATGGTTACCGTTTTTATTTTTAAACATTTCTGCTCAATGGAAAAAAAAAGTAAATTCCTTGGAGCCGGACTACATCCGGTATACAGATTTTGGCCTAAATTTTACTATGTTCCACTTTGTGCATGCACTTAATCAAAAAGAAAAAAAACTACAACATATTTCAATGTGACTTTGAGAAACGATAATCGCAGCTGCAATCTAAGATACTCCAACATGATTTCTTCATCAGTTAGCGTTTTTCTACATCATTCTACGCAATAGATTGAAGCAAAGAAATTGCAAAAAAGGGACAAGTGTTATCTTATTCCCCCCGACCCTACCACACCCACGCCTGCTGTCGCACCCGCCATCTCGCTAGCAGACAGCCGGAAGAGCGCAGAGAGCGCAAGTGACAATTTATCTTGGCCTCAGTGTGCGCCGTGTGTGCGGAGCAAGGCAACAGGCGGCGCAGGTAGTACCGTGCGCCAGCCAGAGTGCTGTTTCAGCTCATATTGTCCTCGATAGTACCTCATTGTTGGTAATAAAGCTATTATTATAATTACAAAGAGGAGCTCTCTTTTTGTGAAAAATAGGGCCAAAAATCTTGCGAGGGTCAACGGCGGAAGGTGACCCTGGAAGACCGAGTCGATTGGAGGGGCGCGTTTGGCGCACGTATTGATAGATGGCGTTGGGAGTAGCGTCGGAAGGCGTAGTTATGGTGCCTTGAACGCGTCTCTGACTGGTGTGTTTACCGCATTCAAAAAAGTGGTCTCTCAATTTCTACCTGATGATATCGTAGAAGTGTCGTGCTGTACGACAGCGACACTAGGGTTCGGTTGTGCTACTCGCAGCTTTCTCGTCAGCATCTCTACGACCAACCGCCAGGATCGTAACATGCAACAGCATGACACTTCGGCTTCTGTGACGTCATTTGTTACCACTTCTGAACCACTTTTGATGTATGGTCAGCGTAGGACGCTAAACACACCAGTGGAAGACGCGCTCTAGGCATAGTGTAGCTGACCAGCAAAAGAAAGCAGACGACACGCCTAGGTGACTGGTGCACAATCGCAAAAATGTGCCTTGGGCTGGTATCGAACCAGGGACCTCCTTTTCCAGTGGAGCGCTCTACCACCTGAGCTAACCAGGAATTATACGTCACTAGAGCAAACGGGTTTTATCAGCTGCCTCCAATCTAATGCCAACAAGGGTGAACGGCTTGCATTTTAAAGTTTATCCCCCTTGTTGTTCTTCTCCAGGGATTGTTTTCGTCATTCTTGTCCAGCTCGCTTGTACATTTGCATTTAATTGCATTTAAACAAAAAGATTATGTTCATTTTAATTGATCACGGTTGTCGCGAGCAGTCTCGATAAGGAGGTAGCGCCATCTATCAATACGTGCTAAAATGCACCCCGCCACTCGACTCAGTTGTCGGTGTTGCCAACTGCCGTTGATCCTGGGAAGTGTTTAGAGTGGTGTCGCCGTCGGCGTAATTGCGCGGTGCATTATAAGTAAATTTCACCGCTTAAATTTACCAGAAAATTTTACTCGCTAAATTTAGCGGGAAAATTTCCCCGCTAAATCTAGCTGAAAAAAAATTTCACGCTAAATTTAGTGTAAACATTTCCCTGCTAAATTTAGCGCAAAAATTTCCCCGCAAAATATAGCGAGAAAAGCGCCAAATTTAGCGGAAAATATCCCCCTAAATGGGAGGCGAGCAGGAGAGGAAGAAGGGCGTAGCCTCCTCTCCGTACCCTCCCCTCCTCCTCCTCAAGAGCTGCGCTCTAATTCGGCGTTACAGGTGATTGTAAACGTCTTTCATTTTTTTGGCCCTCTTTTTTACAGAAAGCGTGCTGTGCTTTCTAATTTTACAAGATAAAACCGACTTGTGAAATACACCTTTGATGAAAAGATTAGATTACTACATGCAGGCGCCGATTTTTACGACCCATCTTAGATTGAGCCTCGGCATTTAAGACACCTTATATGTAATATACACTCACTCGAACCCACAGCATCCTACGATGTGCTGATCCATTGAGGTCGAGCACAAACTTTGTAACTGTTTTTTTTCTTTTTCTGTTTGTTTATTGAACTGTGCAGGTCACGATGCTACTGAAGAAGTTGCCGGAGCCGCTGGGGATGCTTTACAAAAGTAAGCCGGTCGTCTTTTAACAAAAATCAATCACGCCTGCCCGTTTCAGTGTGGATGAGCATTGTACCGGCGTGCAGTCGAGTATCACTACTGCGTGGTGCATGTTAAAGACCCCAGGCTAGCAGTTGTACTGCACTGGCTCTCATCTGCAGGGGGACACCAATGCCCAGTGCCACACTCCCCACTTTACTTTTACTTTACTAAGTAGAAAATAGGAAATATATCAAATACAGCACACAAACGCTTCAAATCCACTTTAAACAGTCTGCGAAATTCCGTTTCTCCACACCGCGTACTGCAATTTACTACAGAGTAGAGTAACTGTACAGATGTGCAGCTAGGTATTGGAGGCTTGAAGTGAAGATATCAACAGATCAACTTGCCATATTCAAAAATGAAGTACTCGAGCAAACTACGACGGCATTCGAAGACTGTGCCATAATGGTGCTCGCCGACTTGTAAATGCTGTCAACGGATGGCGCACCGTGAAGTATGAGAGGATGTGGCACCTCTTTCCATCACTTTCGTACAAGAAATGCGGGACTCTGGGAAGTTATATGCCTCTTTTCGTATTTAGTTTCTCAAAAAAACTTATCACATATTGAAAGCCATACATTACAGAGACGTGCGTCGCACTTAGGAAGTGTAAAACACTTTTGGAAGATTGTCTGCTAAGCACGGTGCCTGGGCGTCCTCGACGCTTCTGACATCTGTCAACTACATTGCGCAGACGGCATGCACCGTCTACAGATGCCACAATAGATTGCCTGAAATGGGTTCTCCTCTTTTCGCTTTTGAATGAGGTAAGCTCATTTGTTGGTACTTTCCTTTCAAGCTTCCACTACTTAGCTGCATTTCTGTAGTAAATCACAGCAGAATATGCTGAGGAACCGATTTTTGCAGACCGTCCAAGGTGGGTTCAAAGCTTTAGTGTGCATGGTGCAGTACTCCCGTCAGTAAGGAAGCTGCCTACTCCCAGACTTGGAGGTAATTTGTTACAACTAACTACTTGTAATTAATTACTTTTCTTGTAATTTAGTAATTAATCTGTTACTTTTCTGAAAATGTAATTTGTATGTAATCTCACTACTTTTTTCAGTAACAAATTATTGAAATTACCCATTACAAGTCTTCTGTCTTGTCGAAGGGAGAAATAGAGTGGAAGAAGGGCAATGCAACGTCCTTCGTACTTTTAGCATGGTTATACAAGACGGGGCTTCGCTCGCAAAGAGATTGCTAGTGAGGGAAAGGAAAGGAATTCACGGAAGGCACGAGAGCCCAGCCAGAGCCCGTTTCTGGATTCGTTTGTACGGTCAGCCAGGCTGGGAGGATTCCACTGTCTACATGAAGGCAACAGGCTTCGACTTCTTGGAAAACGAACAGACTGCTTCGAGCGTACAAAAGACCAGAAATCTAGTGGACCATAAAACCGTCACATGGGGTTTGTGTCGAGTAGGGCCGAGGACACGGTGACCATGGTGCATGTGTTGGCTCCCTTCCTCCCGTCCCCTCCTCTACCCTCCTTTCTCCCTCCCCAACCCTCCGCACCTTGTCCCTCCCCCCCCCGAAAAACTTTTTTTTACACAAAACCCTTTTTTGCTTGTTGGTATTTCTACCTACACACGCTCACCCCGCAAACAGAGGAAGCTCTAATGAGACCTTGACCCTGCTGATCCTTGACAGCGCTGTGGAAGCTAAATACTGGCTGGACCAACCAGCTATGTGGCTTCTGTCACTTGACTTCGCACTAGCAGATGCTTAAGGGAGCCAGTGAGAAATGCACCCTATTTTCTTCTTACAGTACCTATACAGACACACACATGAAGGCAAAAACATGGGTGCAGTGGCAGTTCATTGGAACAGAAAAAAATCTAGCATCAACCCTGCTGTCAGTTTAAACTGTAACTTTCGACAGCAGGCAATAAGCTGGCCGGGGACCACGCAGAACAAAATGGCTTTGGACATCCAAGCTGAACTCGTATTCTTATAAACAAGAATGCTAGGGTTCTCGTCAGTGGATTGCACCTGTGGGAACTTAGACTGAAAGTTTAAGTAAAGGAAACACAGCCAGAGTTTTCTGAGAATAAACAGCGACTCACTTAAACACTGTAGTTGAGAAGCCGCTTGTAAACACGCAAAAGACATGGAAGCTGCTGTTCACTGAAAATTGTGCTTTCTTTAAAAATTTCCAAATGTAAAAATCAGTTCAGCTGAGAAATTGTGCATTAATATTTCGTGTGATGTCATGGTTCTGATAAGTTTGGTGATCAAGAAAGAAGAGCAAGTGTTTCATTCGGTCGGATAACAACCTTCATCAAGCAGAAGTATTTCAAATGTACCCAGACGCAAGCCCGCATCTTGGTCTCTTAGCTAGTCCGTTTTAGTAGGCAAACCAGCCCCTATTTAGGCAACATGCAAACATAGAACAACGACATCTTCAGGGGAATCGTGTTTTGAAGCTCACCGATGCCAAACTTAGATTAATTTGAATGGTGTGCGTGCCTCCCCCACCCAAGTGCATTCGTCGCATGTTCATGGGATTTAATTCTGTGCCGATTAGAAAGCGCAAGACTACCGTAAAATCCCGAGAGATAGCCCACCTAACATCAAGAGCAAATTGGGTGAATATATGGAGTGGGCTAACTTTCGGTGTATTGTCAAGAAAAGTTGATAAAGAATTGCTATTTTTAGGTCGCGTGCCTTCCGGCAATGAAGCAAAGATGACTGTACTTCCCAGTCAGCAGTGTTTGCTTATATCCCGCCGTAGCTAACTAGCCGCATTTACGCCAAGGCCTTCATTGATCTTCACACTACTATTGCTAGGAGTGGACTATCTTTTGGTGTTTAAAAAAAAATATAGCAAACCAAGCCAAAAATAGAGGTGGGCTATCTTTTGGGGGGGGGGGGGGGGGGGGCATCTCTCGGGATTTTACGGTAGTTTATCTCTAACACGTGTTTAAGTCCTTTAAAACTTAATAGATTTATTCTCCTAAAATTATTAATCTGAAATGATGCATAGATAGTACTGAATGTGTTGCATTTTTGTTTTAATTTTGACGGGACCCAAAATTTTCCCCTCAAACGCAGTATGTAGTGTGTCTTTTTCGTGTTTCTTTGGAGTAATGTGAAAGTAATCAAGTAAATTCACAAATTAATTAATCAGTTACTCTTTACAGGGAGTAATTTGTATTGGTAATCCATTACTTTTTAGGCGAAGTAATTGTAATTAATTACTTTTTTGAAGTAACGGGCGCAAGTCTGCATACTCCTTAGTTCCCAAGATAACTCTTGACAACAATCACTTGGCCAAGGCAAGAGGTCCTCTTACGAAATAAAGACGCATTTTCATGCACTCACTGCTGCGATTTTTATGCCACGCATCAATCGAGTGATCTGTCAAAATTTGAGAAGTGATGTCCTTCCACCATTAGCGTCACAAGAGCAACGCTCGCCCGCAATACAACACAACCTGTATATTACTTCTGCTTTATTCATGTTTTATAATACAGTGCAATCCACTTGTAACGATAATGAAAAAACCCAAAAGTTAAGTCGTTAAAAGCGATTATCGTTGTATTTGGAGTAGAAACCGATCGTTATAAGCAGTACATCATTATATGTGGTATCATTGTAAATGGATTGCACTGTATTGTTTAAGGAATGTGATTATTTTATGCGCGAGAGTTGGGAGAACTCTGCACTAGACAGTTCATACACCAGCCACTCTTGTTGAAATGACCAGGCATGTTGTCCCTTTGGTTTTTCATAGAGCCCAGTGTCTGCCCAACACGACCTGTGGGCTGAATTCTCCACGTCACCTTTTTCAGTAGAGCGCACGGAGCGGGCTGGACGCAAGAGCTGTGCCGGCGTTCGGTCACGTCAGCCAAGTGCTGCATTGGCAACGGAAACAAATTATTTACGTTGTCGTTGTCCCCACGAGAGTAGTTCTCAACTCGGCCACTAGGGATGCAACAGTTGGATCTCCACCCCATTGGGCCGGTGCCGTTTTCGAAATTCATACGTACGGCACTCGCTTTGCTTGCTTTCCGAAGCGACGCGACACCACTTGTGCGCCAGGCTGTAACAATGCCATTTAGAAGATGAGGCTTGTGCCATTCCCCTCTCAGAAATCATCACTAGTGGGTCCATGCAAGCGCCGCTTAGCTTGCATCAGCATCGCCGCCAGCCAGTCTTGCAGCTTCTCACAACAAGTACGACACTAGCCTGCACCGTCGCCAAGACAGACGCATCTGCCGCCTTGCCTTCTTGTCAAGCTTTACCTCGTTTGCCGCTTGGGGCAGGACAGAGATCGTGCAGGCCTTGTCCTTTAGGTTCTCTTGACCGTGGAGATTGGTCGAGGAACTGCAGATTGGTAAACTCGTGAACGATGTATACGTTATTGGGAACTGACACGCGCCGTCTGTTTCCAAGGTACCTCCAGATGTGCTCGGAGCTCAAGAACCAGCTCAAGACCAGCCGCTGCCAGCTGGACATGCTGGAAGAACTGCGGCGGGCGACCGTGGAGAGCCTGACCCGCCAGGCTCAGGCGCTGCCCCTGGACTCGCTGCTGCAGTACACGCAGACGCTGCTCAACCTGCTCCACACCAAGTACAACCTCTCCTTCGAAGGGAACAGCGAAGGTGACCACCCTCTCGCAGAAAGCCGCTTGGGGATGGGGACAATCAGGGAAACTTGGAATCTAGGGGAACCCCTCCTGAGGGTACTCTGAGGAACCCCTGAGGGCTCTCTAGGGAACCCCTGAGAGTGCTCTAGGGAACCCATAAGGGCACTCTGGGGAACGCCTGAGGCTGCTCTGGCGAACCCCTTAGAGTGCTCTAGGGAACCCCTGAGGGTGCTCTGGGGAGCATCCTGAAAGTGCTCTAGGGAACCCCAGAGGGTGCTCTGGAGAGCATCCTGAAAGTGCTCTAGGGAACCCCAGAGGGTGCTCTGGAGAACCCCTGAGAGTGCTCTAGGGAACCCCTGAGGGTGCTCTGGGGAACGCCTTGAGGGTGCTCTAGGGAGCCCCTGAGAGTTCTCTAGGGAACCCCAGAGGGTGCTCTGGGGAACGTCCTGAGAGTGCTCTAGGGAACCCCAGAGGGCGCTCTGGAGAACCCCTGAGGGTGCTCTAGGGAATGCCCTGAGGGTGCTCTAGGGAACCTCGGAGGGTACTCTGGAGAACCCCTGAGAGTGCTCTAGGGAACCCCTGAGGGTGCTCTGGAGAACGTCCTGAGAGTGCTTTAGGGAACCCCAAAGGGCACTCTGGGGAACCCCTGAGAGTGCTCTAGGGAACCCTTGAGGGTGCTCTGGGGAACCCCTGAGAGTGCTCTGGGGAACGCCCTGAGAGTGCTCTAGGGAACCTCGGAGGGCGCTCTAGGGAACCTCAGAGGGCGCTCTGGGGAACCCCCGAGAGTGCTCTAGGGAACCCCTGAAAGTGCTCTGGGGAACCCTTGGGGCGGTTGTGGCCAAGAGGAATTTTTGTGTCACGTGACAAGCTCCATGGGGACAAGGAAGTACCTAGCGTCCCTGCCTAATGGCTGAGAAATCCGTGTCGCTTTGAGTACAAAAGTTTAATTTCGTTCGCAGAAACTGATCACAGAGGCTTTCAACTGGAGTCCAATTAACCGTTCCTTTATACTTTAGGAGCGGCAGGTGAAGTTACGGCCAGGGAATGAAAATAGGAGCCTAAATAAAGGAAAAATCATGCAATAAAAGTGGCTGCAGTTTATTTATATACCTGCGCCATATCGGAGACTAACCTTCTGCTGTAGTCGAGAGGTAAGACCGCCGAGACCTGTCGTCGCGGCGTGAAACTTGCGGGTTCAAATCGTGCTAGGAAATCCTTTTTACTTTTTGCATGTGTCTTACTTTTTAACTGTTGTCCTTTTTACAAATCATCCACTTGCATGAATGCACCTTGCACTGTTTTTACTGTTAGTCCTACCTGTTCAATCGAAACACAAGTTAAAGCGCGATTACAATCGTTTCATAATGATCATTAAAAGGAAACCAAGATTACAACATCGGTATGACTTTCACACAAACAGGGCCAAAGCAATCATCCTTTCCCCAGCAACTACAATTTTATGTGTTTTTAAATGCACAACGCTCTCGCTACGATTTTTTTCAATAACAGGAGCCGCCTATTTAGTACTAATACACACTGCAGTTCTGGCAATTAAAAAAAAAAAAGCTTCCACAAAACAAGCAAAAAAGAAAAACAACAAAAGTTAGCAGTTGTGAGTGGATTAATTGAGCAAAATCCTACGGGCAAGGTAGCAAGTCGAACGTCTGAGGAAGTCATAAAACCGATATATGAGAGGTCATGCTTTTACTTGCGTGGAATGTGATAAAAGTTATATTTTTACTCTTTACATTTTGCTGTGGCACTCGTTTTGTAATATTAACACATTACTTGTTCAATGTTAGCTGGAATAGCAGACGACCACAACCGAGTGCAAAAAAATTAATCAGGTGTCGACATCGCAAACCATCTTTCAAATGCAAACACCTAAAATGACTTTGGATCAACAAATGTAATTAATTAGAGCATTTGGAGAATGGAGGCAAAATATTCTAGAGAAATTCAGCAGCAAAGTTACCTGGCCAACGAGGTGGCAGGCATGGGAAGATATTGTCGACGACATACCGTAAAACCCCGAGATAACCCACCTATTATCAAGAGCAAATCAGGTGAAAATATGGAATGGCCTAACTTTCGGTGTATAATGAAGAAAATTTTAAAGCATTACTATTTTTAGGTCAAGCTCGTTATGGCGGCGAGGGGCAACGAAGCAAAGATGACTGTACTTCCCAGATAGCAACGTTCGCTTATATTTCGCCATAGCTAACTAGCCGCATTTACACCGAGGTCATCATTGATCCCAATACTACTATTATTATTAGGAGTCTGGGGTTGTCTTTCGGTGTTTAAAAAAAAATAGCAAATCAAGCCAAAAATAGGGGTGGGCTATCTTTTGGGGGTGGGGCATTTCTCGGAATTTTACGGTAAGCTTTTCACGGTGTGCACATCAGCTGCAGGAGGCGTGGCGGAAGTTGGTAAAGAAAGCCAGAGACGTGTATGTGTTCTTCCGAGGTCAGGAACAACGAACTGGTAAGTCAGGACTACCCACCCAATAATTTTATGGAGCTCATAGGGCCTTGTCTACACTCTTAGTGGGAGTGCAGTCAGGCAAAGATGAACCTGCAATAAAACAAATTTCACTACAAAAAAAAACAAAAAAAAAAAAAAACATTTTTGGCACGATTTGAACTTGCCTCGGCGCTCTAACCTCTCGACTACAGCAGAAGGGTTGAAACTCTTGCGCTGGCGCAGGTATGTAAATATACTGCCACCGCTTTTATCTCGCATGATTTTTTCTTTATTTCAGCTCATATTTACCGTCCCTGGCTGTAACTTCACCTGCCGCTCCTAAAGTATAAAGAGGCGGTTAATTGGACTCCACTTGAAAGCCCCTGCAGTCAGTTTCTGGGAGTGAAATGAGACTTTTGTACTCGAAGCGACATGGATTTCTCCTCCATTAGGCAGAGACGCTAGGTACTTCATTGTCGCCACAAAGCTGGTCAAGTGACATAAAAATCCCTCTTTGCCGCAACCGCGGCCGCGAGATGAGCAAACCGCCCCTGGGGGTGCTCCGGGAAACCCGTCATTGTGCTCTGGGGAACCCCTGAGGTTGCTCTTGGAGGCCCCCGGGTTCCTAGGAACCCGGGGTTTCTCGAGAGTACACGCACGGGTTCTTCGGGCTTCGAAATTCCCTCGGCCGTCCCTGCCATCAATTGAGCATACTCCTGGTTTAAGCACTATTTCAGCAGATCTGAGCCACTGATTGACGGGTAACAATGAACCAAACACTCCTACGCATGGCTTGAATGTGACGTTAGTTCGCCCTTCTTTCTGGTGGCAACAAGTGCCTCGTTAACGCGGCGGAAGTTACGCTCTCGTGCATCCTTCTCCCAGGTTCGCTTCTGTTTTTGGTGGCAACAAGCGTCTCGTTAACGCAGCGGAAGCTAACCTCGCGTACGTCTTTTCCCCCATTATTTTTGACCAAGTAACGCCAGTGCAAGCCATGCATAGAATGAGTACCATTGTTTACAAGGTCAGTCAGCTTCTCAACTGCTTTACTGCACTGTTGCTGAGACTCTGAGTGGTTCCTGTGCTATCAATAAAAAAAAGGTGTTCTTTGAGATAAAAGAATTTTAAAACCCTTTGCTTAGAGTATACACCAACTCAACTTAGTGATGCCACAGCACGGTGGTGGCGCTTCGAGCGCACTTCCGGTCTGGGGCTGTGGGCGGACGTCACCTTGCAAGACGTGCATTCCTGCGTTGTTTTGAATGAAATCAGGCAAAAACCTGCCTTCTCATCAAACTGCCACGACTGGGGCTGTACCAAAAGAGTCGAGAAAGATTTAAAGGTCAGTTTTCATGCGCTCAGTTCGTCTGAGAACATGGATATGTGCCGTGAAGAGGGAAAACCAGGTGCCTTTAGACCATGATTGCTTGGGCAGGAAGCACTTTGGGTTGAATTCACGGATACTTGTAGTGATCAGATTTATTTGTTTCGTTCCAACATGAACGCGGGAAAACGATCAAGTTGTACGTACCACCTGCGGACTACGTTCAGTGCGTCTTAAAGTTCAAACGGCCACCTGCATGATCCTTCGAAGTATTGTCTGCCCTTTCAAACGTTTCTGCTTGTTGCCTGCTCTTTCAGACGACACCGGCCTATAGGCCAAACGTTGGCCCAGTAATTGCGATAAAAAGTAAGTGCAGGCCTCGAAAGACTTTTAAGTTTGAAGGTTGACTGGGGTAAACCGGCTCGGTCTAAACAGTAGATCCAAGGAGATGTTGATCATTGTTACCTGTGGCCATCATTGACTTGTTATTCCTGATTCACCTGGTCCGACTATGCGTGCTATTTTCAGTATCGACGTCGACCATCTCAGCTATGGTTCACGCTTTTGCACTCCGAGCGACGTCGCGACTGAAAATTGCAAGCGGATTCTCATCATGCGAATCAGGCTTTAGCATCCATCCTGCGGCGTCCACGTAGAATGAATGCCCGCATGTCACATTATTCACCTGGAGTTTGGCGGTGTAACGAGCCTCGGTAATTTCGCTGAGGCCGCTCAAGTAGTCAGACATTGCCAGGAACACGTAGAATCAACAATTCCTACGCGAAAAAGAGCACGGGGACTCATACCGACACCGACAACATCACATTTCAATGGTTTGTTTACGGGCGACAGCGAGCTTCTTGCCCACACTCATCGCACGTGCGCGGCACCGGTGGCGTCCGCTAGGGGCGCTCCGGTTTGTTTGTAAACATGAGTTGGTCTATTGACACTTCGTTCTCCGGCTGTCTTATGTGTGGCACCATTTTGTTGCCTATTGCATAATGAGCACAATACACCCTTTTTGAAATTCAGTCTGGCCAATTTGATGTTTTTTTTAAGTTTAACTGCTAAGATTGCTGAAGTGGCGTCACACTGAAGCGTAGCCACGGTCCTCAGGGTAACTATTCATTGGTGTGCAAACTTTGGCGCCCTAGTAAATATTGTCGCCGCCAGCAGCACTGATCTGTTTCGACAGCGGAGCTGTTAAGGGCTAGGCTCCCCAGGAT